CGGCGGCGGTGGCGGTGATGGTGGCGGTGGCGCCATTGTGGCGGCGGCGGTGGCGGTGGCGGCGGCGGTGGCGCTGATGGTGGCGGCGATGGTGGCGGCGGCGGTGATGGTGGCGGCGGCGGTGATGGTGGCGCTGAGGGCGGCGGGGGCGAGGGCGGGGGCGGGCGGGGCGGGCGGGGCGCGCCGGGGTTGTCGCTCAGTGCCGAGGGGTGGAGCGAGCCGTTCATCTCCCCAGACTCGTCGGCGAGGAGGATGCCGGCGGCCTCAGCGGGGACGGAGTCACGCGAGATGGAGCGCACCTGAAGGGCGCGGGAGAAGGGTGCCGGAGAAGGGGTGCCGTGTCTCTCTCCTCTCTTGTGCCGTGTCTTGTGCCGTCGGGAGAGGCGGCGTCAGAGAGAGCTCACCAGGACGAGGAGCGTGTTGGGGACCACCACCGGCTTGGCCCCCTTGAGCGAAGAGAGCGAGCACGCGGCGCTGCGCACCTCGGCCAGCGACCACAGCTCCGGTACCGCGTGCCTGTCTGGCGGCGGCCAGCGTTCCACGAACGGCGGTGGCGTCGGGCGCGGAAAGAGAGACTCGAGGTGGAGGAGGGCGGCCGTCTTGCGGAAGCCTCGCCGTGGAAGTTGCTCGGGCGGAGCGCCGCCGTGTGGTAGCGCGGTGGGCGCACTCAGAAGGGCGCCCACGGGGCCGGGGATGCGCTGCGTGCCTTGCACACGCACGGCTCCACTCGGCTGTGCTGAGGCGCCGTTGCTGGGAGGAGCGGCGGCGTTGCTGCCAGAGGGACCGTAATCGTCGTCGTCGTCGAGGTCGAGGTCGCTCGCCGGCATGATGCGGCTGCAACCGTGCCGTGACCGGCCCCCGCGCGAGGCGGGACACAAACAAAAGTCCGTGCCTCTCTCAAAAAAGAAAAATGCGCCACGCCAAGTGCTATCTATCGTCGAGAGTGCTCATGTTTGTGTGTGTATATGGCCTCCCACCGCATCGGCGCGCGCGTCGCGGGCCTCTCGCCAGCGCAGCTGTGCGCCATCATCGAGGCGCAGGCGCATCGGCGGCGAAGGCAGCGATAGCGAGTTTGTTGTCAACTCGGTCTCGGAGCTGTACGACCGTCCACAAATGAGTGGGAGGAAGAGGCTGCGGCGCCGATGCCGATACGATATTTTGTTCGCACGGCGATGCTCGATGGTAAGCTCTACGCGGTCGTGCGAGGCGAGGTAACACGCTCGAAGACGAAGGCGAGACTCGGGTCCTCGACGGTACAGCTGACGGCGACGGCGCTGATGTAGCAAATTCTGAAAAGGTTCCACCAGAGCTTGCGGCGGCTGGCGCCTTGGTTTGGGCGGGCTGTGACTGGCGCCTCGGCCTCCGTTTGGGCAGAGGCCTCAGCTGGTTGGTTGGCCTTGTGGGCGGCGGCCTCGGCTGTCGCCTCGGCTCCACCTTGGGTAGTGGCCTCGGCTGTCGCCTCGGCCTCTTGTGTGACAGCCTCGGCTGGCGCCTTGGCAGCCAGGTCGGGGGCTGTCGCCTCGGCTCCACCTTGGGTAGTGGCCTCGGCTGTCGCCTCGGGGCTCTTGTGTGACAGCCTCGGCTGGCGCCTTGGCAGCCAGGTCGGGGGCTGCGCCCCCTTCCCCCGGCCCCCCCCACGGTCGGCGCCCCGGAGGAGAGGTCCGACAGGAGGCGTCGGCGTCGGCCCGCAGCCGA